TAATCAGTTACGATAGTAAAATTGATGATGGCGATGATTTTTAGCAAGATAAGCTAAATAAATGGGGCATTGATTTGTGGAATATGATTTTTCTTTATTATCGATAGACTTTCCTCGTTTTCCTTGACTTAGGTAAAAACGTATACATGAAAGATTTAACAGAGCAATCTGTAGTCAGGCTGATTCACCTGCGCCGAATAAAGCAATGTTGTTCATCGAAATCGCCTTTCATACGAAGTCGCGTTCTTATTTAATTTTGGTGTCAACGATCCTGAATGATTATGTACCTACCTACGCATTTTCAAGAATTTGCCTGATTAATTCAGCTGTATAAACATCAGTGTTTTAATAATGAAGGTTTTATAAATTGACTAGCTGTGCCCGCGACTTCGTACGCGTGAAAATAGATTATTGAATATTTTTTCCCGTTTTTGCAACATTTTTCATCGATACTCCGCTCATACTGTGCGTAGCGTTATGTTACATAGCCCTTTAAAATTCTTGAATTTATAGATAAAATCTATGAAATAAACGTGACGAGAAGTAGGTATGTAAGATTTCGGCAAACAATAACACATAATCCACGGATATGTGGTTAATATTAACCTCAATAATTACTCATGCATGGAGTCAACATGAGTTTTGACAAGCAAGGTTTCAGATTTGTGGTCGTCTCCATACATGAATGATTAAAGAATTCTCCGTGGCTCGCAATCCACACAATATTGAATTTTACAAAAAATGTTTATCAAACTTTTTGTCCGTTTTACTTTTTGTAGTGCTTTTTCGGAGGGTTGTTTGTTTTAGTTCAGCTTTTTAAGGCTTCGGGCATTGTTGTAGCCAGGTAGAATTCGTGCCTATTATATGACTTCCGTAAAAACAAAGAAAACAATGATTTTAAAGTAAAGTTGTTTGTTTCGGTAAGAAGAAAAGGGATACAAAGAAGTACCTATTACGTAGCTTTATAATGTTTCTGCGCTTGAAAATTAAAAACTTCTACTCGTAGTAAATATGTACTTACGTGGATGGTAGGAATGAACTGCCATTTTATTCATCAGACAAACGGTTAATGTTGCGGAAAGATCTTAGAAATATGAACAAAAATGTTGTAAAATATATGTATTTCAATTAATTTACTTAGGTAGATTTACGTATTTCACCATTATTCTCTACACATTTCCCTTTTCATTTTAGTTAACGTTGAGCTTAACCTGAAGTCTGAACGTTGCGTTATTGGATAACCTTGACCTAGATAATTTTCTTAACCCGCAAATATGAAAGCTATATCTTCTGTTGGATTTTTAACTTAATCCAATATTTACCTGTGTTAGTCACACCTATACGAGTATAATTAATACATACATAATGGGCGTCTATGGATAATACCTGTATTGATTTTACATAACCCCGCGACAATGTTACAAAAGTACGATTTCGAAAGCTCAGACAAACATGGGTTTTGAGATAAGTAATAAGTATGTATCAACTTATTCTATGTCAAAGCTTTATTTTTTAATTCTTACTATTTATTACTCATAGTTTTCAAGATACATTTTATTACGACTGAAACAGCATCTCTGTAATTCAGCGGTAAAAACAATTTACTACTCGGTTAGCGAAAGCTCACATGGTTTCGAATCTGAAGTACCTACTCGTTAGCTGATTTTTTTTCTGATTGTAATTAATATAACCTACTACACTTTCTATTTTATGCATAGTAACTAATTAAATAACCGAATGAAAATTGAAAACCAATCCTGCTACACGTGCGATCGAGAAGAAAAATTTACAGAACAGTGCCAGCTTGTAGACACATCGGTATTCAATATACTACTTGACGCGAGCGCATTCACACATCGAGTGATGATTTGCGTCAAATGTAGTACAACAAGTCGTGCGCATTCGCCACGCACGTGTTCTATGTATTTAAAAATTCAGGGTGTCCTAGAAAATATTATCAGACGAGATTTCAGGAGAACAGTGCCTACATCAGAAGCAATTTATGATGATCCTTAACAATCCTCAAAGTCGTAAAACCAAACCCCCAATTTATTTTATTTAAATTAATAAAACTATAAATATTCAACAATGCATATACAATATGAAATGGTTAAAAATTAAATGAGCATCTTATAATAAAATATTTGCCTTCAAAAGTTACAGTTTCAGTTCAGCCTAAATACAATCACATCATTTCAACCATACAAGGTTATTAAAAATAATACATAGTTGAAGTTGTAATGAAGTTAAAAAAATTTATGTAGCTTTTATAATTTATTTCTTTTGTTTTTTGATTTTAATTATTTAACACCTTTGCTGCGGCAGTAACTTTCTAATACTTTCCATTCCTTCGGTACAAGGTCAGTAAACCTGGTATTAAAACTTACATTGTGGCGGCACAAGGCTTAAAGACCTTGTAATATTTAAGATATATTAATTTTATTTTTGGCTCCATGTTAATAGATATTGTGTTTTTTTTCTTTGAATATTAATAATAATGCATTTATTGACATACACCTGANTTCTTCTTTCAGTAAGTTTCAACCATGCAAGGTTAATAAAAATACATTAGTACCAACAATACAATAAACAAGCTTCAAAGCAAAAATAGAGTTAGAGAAAAAAGTAAGACAAAAAGCGCACTTTATGTAGAGAGCACACTGTGCACTTTTATTCCACCACAATCTTGACTCATTTTCAAACAATGAACTAAATATAAAATAGAACTATTGATTTTTCTCCGATTCCTTAGGTTTACTACTATAGAAGTTCCTTTAAATAACTTATATCATTACTAGCTCAGTACCTCTAGTACGAAAAACTTTCGAGTTCGTTTCGTTTGCGTATTCAAAGTGCCATCGAAAAATTTTGTATGAAAAATTAAACAGCGCCCCCTATATTATAGCCGCCCTAGGGGGCGCTGTTGAAAGTTTTTCGTAATAGAGGTACAGAAGAAAAAATACAAGGACAAACGTTACACGTGTTCAGTAAATAAATTTAGTAATAGATTTCAGTATAACGAAAAGGGACGTAAACAAAACCTACATGTTTAATGCCCCATTCCGTCCTTGTCGCGCCAAGGCCATTTCTCTTCACAGCTACAGTCAGTTAGTTTCACTTGTAATATTCAGCTGGGACCGCAAATCGTCTAACGCGATATAAATAGAGGTTAGACTTGAGTTGTTTCAACTGAACTCATCTGTAGAACAGATCATTCCATTATCTTACGAGACTATAAAAACTGAAAGGAATTCTGACTGAGCGTGTATTGTTGATTCCTTCAAATATATTTAGACATACTAGAGATCGAGACGAACACACTAGCGTTTTATTCGACTGTGGAGAAGCAGACGCCTATAAGAATTTACGACTGTTGTGGGCTTTCTTCACGACTTTTAATGAAATTCAGAGTAGTTGATAATACACACTAAAAACGTGAGCAGTTTCGGTTAAATACACTTACAGAATGAGATGAGATGAGACACATCTAGGTACTTCTAAAATTAGTTCGTTTAATTTCGAATGGAAATATTAGGTACCATTAGAAAGTCAAGAATTCTCATTAAAAACACTTAACTCCTGCTTCTGAACAGTAAAATTCCTATCGTAGCGTACTTATATTTCATGAAAAACATTAGGATTTCATTCTTATAGTTCAGAGGAATAAGGTACGCGCCCTTTCTCAGTCATGAGTCACCAGTCACCACGCTTACGGTCGTCAGCAAAGATAATGCCTCTGTGTTGCAACTTGATGCAAATGAACTTGAGTTTAATGTCAATTTAATTTATCAAGTTTTTGATGTCAATTTATTTTAAAACTTGTTTTTATTTTCTTGCGAGGGTACAGACATTATTTTTAAATAAACATGCTCTACCTTACACACGATCATTAATCATGCCTATCTAATTCAATTACATTTATTCAAATACAACTACAACTAACCAAAATATGATTTATCTGCACAAGCAGATAAATCATATTTTGGTTTGTTTAAAATTTTATGAGTATAAATCTTCTTTCTTAGGTTGATCACTATCTTTAGTATTTTGACCTCTAACCTACACGGTAATGCGCCCATTAATAATATATGAGAAGCTCATAAATTGGATGATAGTACATGTGAATACAAAACATCTAGGTATCGTACGTATGCTCATTAGTGGTTTCTTCGTCGGAGCAAATCTAGGATAGATTTTTTCCGTCACACCTGCTGGCGTTAGGTTGCGAGCTTATGAAGGACACGCAATATGTCGAGGTATCTACACTGACTCTACAAGACACGATATTCTCACGTAGGTCTAGGTAGGTATAGGTAGTCTCTTATTGAGATAGAAAGAAAGAAACCACGAAGACCACATTACCACCTAAGATTTTAACTGGGGCTCTCACTGTACCTAATGCCAAACAACTTGAAGGGTTGTGAAAGTTTACATCCTCGGTATAAAAAAAAACTAACTAAGAAGCAGGCTAGCAGCAGCAGTTAATTAATTTATTGTTATACCTACCTATTATTATTTTTTATCTTTGTTTTATAAATGAAATGTAAACAAATAGAGAATAAAGTTCTTTAAACCTGCGGCCACCATTCAACACGACCAACCGGCTTCAGGGGGAAATTGGTGTCCCCTTTTATATTCACAGACGATGGCGCTCGGGCCCCCTTATACAAACGACTGGCATCAAGGGAATAAACATAGATTAATAATAGCTAACCACATAACACATTTACAAATATAACTACCTACTATCACGGGACTGACAAACCTTACGCAGTGACAAGGCTTTTGTGTTAAACCTTGAGCGTAGTTAATTGAGTTTTAATTTTACCACCATCTAGGGAGAATTTCAATGATAATTAATACGTAGCGTACATTTTGTTTGTACTGACTTACTATTTATATTTTAATAAAGCTAGAAAATTCCAACATGGCAAGCAAGTACTATGTACGAGTATATACGAGTATAGACCATAGCTCTAATTAGTTATATGATGTTTCAGTGGCAGCGCATACGAGGGCCAATGGCAGAACGGCAAGCGACATGGACTGGGCGTGGAGACCCGCGACCGGTGGCTGTACCGCGGCGAGTGGACGCAGGGCTACAAGGGCCGCTACGGCGTGCGCCAGAGCACCACCAGCAACGCCAAGTACGAGGGCACCTGGGCCAACGGACTTCAAGACGGATACGGCTCCGAAACTTACGCTGATGGCGGTCAGTATAATTATCTAACTTTATCCATTGCCAACTCACGAAATCCCGACGAAAATACATATTACGTTTACACGACCCTGGCATTCTTACTCTGAATCACTACGGGAGAATGCGTTTTACTTTTAATCAAACAATTAGATTAAAACTGATGCTCTTCTTATCACACATTTTACCCCTTTCAACGCATTGTAGGTACTTGCCATGGGAGTAAAATATACCTTCACTGGTACATTATCCACCTACTAATGTTTCACTTTCAACGCTCACAAGACTACGTTGTTGCCACGTATTGACCCAGATTGAAGTTGCGTGAACTAGGAAAAACCCCCATTTGGCTTATGCAATGTTTACCACTAGAATATAATTTATGTGCAAACAGCAGACACGGTCTCACGACCAACACTAAATACCATAGAGTTAAATACAAAACAACTCGAGACGCACATTGAATGCTATAGCAATTTTCAAGAGATTAGAATAAATCGAATGTTATTGTGCTCGAACAGCAAGACAAAGCTATTTTTCTGTTGTAATTTAGGCGATTTCGCTATCGTGCCAACTGACAATGTGTCCAGAGACGATCACGATTTATTCAACCTTGGAATCGAATAAAAATCAGAGCTCTCTTATTAAACTCCGTAACTCTACATTGCCTTTTACGAACACTGCGACAAAACGTCACGCAATAATTTATTCTGAGCATAATATTACATTGAGTCATAATCTTAAACAACACTGTGATTCGTCATTCTCAGTAATATCGTGAATGCACTGATATTTTCACGAAAACATTCCTAATATCGCTTACGTAGGCGAGCCGTATTTAGTTTAGCAGACATAAAACAGCTACCTATACGGATAGTTCATTCATTGCGTGTTCCCAACACGGTAGTCAGCAGCCTCGTCAAATATTCACCAGCACCAGTGGCTTAGCGTCATCACACCCACTGCTCATTATGTCTCGTCACTAATTGCGCATAGTGAGAGCTCAGGGCGTGTGCGCTGCGCTTGTTAGATAAATTACATAGATATTTATTTATGGAACAAATATAATTCTAAGCGAGTCTGATGTATTGCAATAACCATTTTTCGATGATTTAGTATATGAATGGTTGAAAGCCGTAGTATTGCGGCCGCGGCACCGGCACTATCGTGGTGTCCGAGCACTGCGGCCCTCGGTAGTTAAATATAGCGACGCAGGCACGCCCGCCGCACCGCCTCGACACACAATCATCTCGGCTACTCACTCATTCTGTACTACAAAAGATAATATGTTTCTACTACCATAACACTCACCCACTAACACAAACATTTTTTTACTCAATAGACCTAACACGTTAAATAACACTCATAAATACAAAGACCTTTTAACTTAATTGACACCTGAAACAGAGCATACCATAATCATATGGGTGAGACAGGAAGAAAACTTGTCTGAATACGCTCATGAGATATGTAGTTGAACTCTGTCAATTTTGAAAACTTCTTACCACTAATAATTTACAGTCATAATCTAGCTGTTAGAGTTTGTAAAGGAGTTCAAACCACGAAGTAAGGTTTTCCAAAAAACGAACTCAATTAAGTGAATAAAGCTCTAGAAAAGCTTCAATTACTACTAAAACTATTTAATTGGTTAAAGTGCTCTACTATATTGGCTTTTAGTTTGATTAGGAAATTACGGGCTAGTTTTAATGGCAATACAATGTAAATGCAGATGATTCCGCGTTATAGGCTTGGAAAGGTACATACGTAAAACTTCAATCGAGGTATTTCCACGCCTTTAGTTATTTATAGTAGCATGGCGTGTCAGTTAAACTAAAACGAATCGTGTAAAGTAACAGAGAGCAACAATAAAGATACCCACTCAGGAAAATTCCAAATCACCTATTTTATTAAATAAAAACATAACAATCCTTTGAATCCTTCTGTCGCAGTCGGGTAAAATCGATCTAATAACCAAAGCAGTACGCTTTGGTTCTGTAAGATGTTGATAACATCATAATAAGACTATACGAAAACGCTGCGCGCAAAATATTTTTCATACGTCGTGTCATTACATGAAAAGCTTGAAAACACTGCTCTACATTATTGTTTCTGTTATATTTTTTCCTTTGAAAAGTTGTGTCTGACTGTACAAAGTCACGCTGCCGTTAGACTAATTATCTGAACAGCCATAATGCCTTCTACAGTACTTATTATTATTCTGTGCTTCTACTGAGATTTTTCAGTCGGACTGATGGGAAAGCTTAACGAGTCCTCTGATGCACATAATTACATTTCGTTCCGGACCATCAAATTGATTCAAGCATGCGATATCCTAACCCAATTGAAAATATTACCAGGATTATGGGTGATTTTTAAATTTAGCCAACTTTGGAATTTAACATCTCAATGCTCCTGGAGCATCAAGGAACTTTCAGGATAAAAGTGAAAATGCTTATAGTGTATAATCGTGTTTTCCAGGAACATACCAAGGACAATGGATGCGCGGCCTGCGGCACGGGTACGGTGTGCGAACGTCGGCGCCCTTCGGCCTGGCCTCGCACTACCGAGGAGGCGCGCGAGGGCACCGAGGCTCGCAGTCCTCGCTGGCGGACGCGGCGGGGACGCCGGACCCTTCCGAACGTCGCACGACGCGCATGGACGACGCGCGCGGAGGCTTCGTGCTTACGGCCAGCTCCGAGGAACCGGGCCGCCGTGGTTCGCTGGCAGAAAAACCTAAAAAGGGACTGCTATCTGTAAGTCTGGGCTTTTCACTTTTTGAGACTAATTTGGTTATGTTTGACGATGTAAAATGGATTGGTGGTTTGCGAACCAGACTAGGTGCAGTCGAAAGTGTCGAAACTGATATTGCTAGTAGAGCTTATACCGAAATTATCGTACTTGCTTGTTGGCAATTTCATGTTCCATGTATCGTCATAAATACAAGCCTAGAGAGCTAAACTACTAATTGGACATGACTATAAAATCGCAAGCATAACTGCTACGATTATATTTTACAGTTGTATGTTTTCGTGTCAGGGGCCTATATTCTTTACTCAGCGGAACAATTTTAGACACCATAGTCGCTGTTTCGTGTTTATTTTCAATCTACGACTCATCTCTACTTATTTCAATTATCTATCGAATTTCTGTAAGTCACGCCAGTTGATAGGGGATTTGTGTTAATGTCTGCCTATCACTAACAGTCACTCTATAAGAGACTAATTTAAGAAACTAAAATAATACTCGTACATTGACAGTAACACCACATAAGGATGTGATGAACCAAACACCAAAAACACCAGGGTGTTCAGAATCACCTAGCAAAAAAATTACGCCATTTAAGTATCAATCTAGTCGACAGACTGTGGTACAATGTAAGTTGCTTTACTTACATAGAGAATTAGTTTCAATCAATAATGCCTACAATTGAAGCGAAATGGCAAAATCAATAGTAGGTAGGTATATAATTAGCTATAACAACGACGACAGTCTAAAACTCGCTGAGCGCTATGTTGATTGATAGTTTCAATTGCCCTTCTTGACTAGTAAGAGATTACAAAAAATCATTATTATATTATTAAACAATATCAAATCATGTATGCTTCCAGAAATTACGTAAGCAGCGTAGTGCAGGAGAGTTGGACAAGCGCGGCACGGGATCGGTGCGGTCGGGTGGCTCGGGGGGCTCGGCCTCCTCCTGGGTGTCGTCGGTGGAGAGCTCCCACTCCGCCATGACCCATGCCTCGCTGCAGACTAACTCTAATGCAAGCTTCGTTGTTGAGGTCAGCTCATAAAGTATTTTGCACGGATTAAAGAATAGTAACTTTTGACGAAAAAACGCTTACAGCCGCTGCCTATGTTGGCTAACTTTATAAACTGAAATTTTAAATTAACCTAAAATTATAAATTATATTTTCGTATAACTTTTGAAGGCCACTTGCGACCGATAAAAGACGTGATTGGAATGAGAGTGGTAGAGTTACTAAGAGAAAATCGGAGCTTATTAACCGAAATAATTGAATTTCGAAAGAACATTAGCGAAAAGGAGAGCCCAATTTTGGTAATAAAATAAGGCTTCGATTTGTAAAATGGAACTCTAAATACAAAAAACAATAATCTTTACATAACCGGAGTAAAATTTAAGATATCAATGTAAAAACAACACGGGTGGGTAGGTACGTAAATAACATCGCCTCACCTAACCTAGGTCCTAAAGCTGATCAATCAAAAGTCACAAATAAATTTAGCTTTGTGACTCCTTTTTACTAAACGCAATGCGTTATTATTTACAGGATGAACACTTAGATGCGAGTGTAACAGAGACATACATGGGTGAATGGAAAAATGACAAGCGGACTGGATTCGGTGTTAGTGAACGCAGCGACGGGCTTCGGTACGAAGGCGAATGGTTCGCAAACAGAAAATATGGATATGGTGTTACTACTTTCCGCGATGGCACAAGAGAAGAGGGCAAATACAAAAATAACGTACTCATAACGAGTCAGAAACGGAAACACATGTTCCTTATGCGCTCCGCCAAATTCCGCGAACGAGTCGACTCGGCCGTCAACGCGGCGCAGCGTGCCTCAAAGATCGCCTTACAGAAAGCTGATATAGCCATATCAAGGTTAGTATTATTATAAATACATTTTCCGTTACAATATTAAACTGTAGCCATATAATGTTTTACTGGTATACTTTGTAGCGCTAAATAGCCATGGATAGTAGCGCCATGCCTGTATCATTTATTTGTATGATTATATTATAGTAGCGTTTAACGCAACGCTGAAAAAAACAAATGGACAAAACAAATTGTTAAAATTAAAAGTATTGACATACCGTCGTGTAACATACCTACGCAGCTATCTACTACTAACCGTTAAAGGTCTTGAGAGTGTGATGACAATATAACATTAATTTCTTTGTCAACAGAACCTCCACTGCCCGAGGTAAAGCGGAACAAGCCGATGAAGCGGCAGACCAAGCAAAAGAAGACTGTGATCTTGCGCAAACTACTGCAAAACAGTTCGCTCCAGATTTCAAACACCCTGGCTTTGATCGAATAGGATTAAGAGACAGATACAGACAAAAGCATTACGATGCACAAGTCACGACACCCGTATCACAAGAATCTGAAAAGATCTTGGACTCAAAGAGCATTCCAAACCATATCCCTCCGATGCATTCACAGCTCCCTAATGCTAATAAAATGCCCAATGCGATGCCTTCAAGACGACCTTCTACGCAATACCCCAATACACAATATCCTAAGCCCGCTTTATCTACAGATCCAAGACTCGCGAACAGTACTAACTACAGTGCAGACAACAGGGTACTTGGACCTACTTATGATCAATATTATTCACCCAATCAAGATAACTGGTCATCACCAAATACACAACCACAAATGTTAGATAGTCAAAAACAATACTTACAAAATGAACCAAGTAATGTCTACGGATCTATTCCTCAAAGTGGCCAACAACAACAGCAACAGCTTCCCGCATCTTATCGTTTAAACAGGCAAGACGCGTTGCAGCATCAACAAAGTATGGACCAAAGCAGCCAGCAATATATAAACCAAGGTCGACGACTTTCATCAACGGTACGACAAAACCAAAATCAAAGACAACCTCAAGAGTGGAGTACCGCTCAAAATCTCCCAAGGCGGCAAAGCGTGCTCGCACAACCGAACCACGATACTCAAGAACATGTCTTCGTGGATGGGGGTACAGCTGCTTACGGAAGAAACGAATTCCGAAGCGGCACTGTATATTCCGAGGGACCACTGGATAGAACACAAATGCCAACGGACCAAGCTTATCGGCAAACAATGGATCAAGGGTATCGGCAGCCACTAGATCAACAAGGATATGCTCGACCAACACCAGATCAGCAAATGTACCGCCAAGCTCCTCCAGATCAACAGGGGTATCGACAGCAAGGGCCTACAGAGCAAGACATTGTCAATGGAAACAGGCCGTCTGGCCCACGACCATCTATCGATTACTTTGATCACTATAAAAGACCACCAAGTAGAGACTCCAGTGTGGACCGCTTTGGTAGGCGCTCACGGCAGCCGTCTGTGGAAGCCACGGCACCTAGCGGAGGGTCACGTGCTGGCTCAGTGGCCCCGCAGCCGCAGCCGGCACCCGCGTCGCGCCCTGCTTCTCGTGCAGCGACTCCAGCAGGCAACGGTCATTTGACTTCCGGCCGTGGTTCCATTTCTCGAGCCGGCTCGCGAGAACCACAACCTTTCGAAGATTCTCTCCTACGAAAGCGAACGCTTGGGCAAGAAATATCACCATCACCATATCAGCCGAAGCGCACTGAAAGCTTATTCGTGGCGCAAAATCCTGCCCCACCTCCAATTTCAAAGCCAAGCGGTGGAGGCGGCGGAGGCGGAGGCGGAGGTGGAAGAAAGGTAAGTCTGTTCTTTATGATGAATTTAGTAAATGACAATCANCAAGGTTGTGTACATCCAGATTCTCAAATTTAAATGACAATCATAATTTTACCAGGATAAGATTAACGCTTTCTTCTGCTTATTAACTGCAAGTTTTCTTGTTACGTACCTAATTCACTCCACATTATCAAAAATGAATGCGCAAGCATTTTATTAATCCTGTACTACCTACTTGCCAACTGTAATAATGATAGATGTTTAAAAAGTTAACCACAAAATCGAGCAAAACAGTCAAAGCACTTGTCAGCATTGTGAGTTTGGGTGTGGTTTCGGTATAAAGAAAAGGTTATATTATTCATAGAAAATACCTATATTTCGTCTACATATCGGTCATGAAGTATTTATATTGCGAACCCTATCATAATTAAAGGCGTTTGCATTATTCACTACATTACTTTCTTTTTATATTAATGTAACAAATGTTCTTTGATAATTTAAGAGCACTGTGCAGGAGTCGTAAAATGCATCGTATAATAATTATCCGCCCAAGATATTGAAATTATGTTTTTTTATCTTCTTTCACTCGCTTTTCTCTTCTTTCTAGACTCAGTTAACCTGGTAAAATCTGCCTTTCCTAAGAAATACCTACTCACCTAAAATTACTCGTGAAATCAGGACGTTAGTTACAGTACCTAATAATCACGGGTACTACGAATTACGATTATAACACATTCCTATTAATTAGTTATGATTATTCAGGATCCCAAATAATTTTTTCCTGATTTTTATTTGACTTGAAGAATTTGTGCGTTAAATTGGATAATAGTATTTTTTATCAGTAAGAGAACCAATAACTACCTAATTATACTTTTTTATGATAAGAGGTCATTTGAACGCAAAAATACAAAGTACTTAGTGGGTTAATACCAAGTACATTTTGGAAACGTAAATGATGGTGGACACTGATACAATAAATATGTAATGATTGTTCACTTTGTGAAATTGAGAAGACAATGGCAACCACTGCTATTAATAGCGCCGGCTAAATACTCATTGTGTATGTTTCATTGATTACATTACACGACGAAATGATCACGCTCATGGTCTTTACTTGTCAGCGATGAAGAAAAATGTCTAATGCGACTATTTTAAGAAATCACTGCTGCACTGGTACCAGACATGTTTTTGTTTGTACAAAAATAATTAGGTTTAAATTTTGTGATACTTTTATTTTGAGAAGAAAATATTCCACTGAATAGCACGTTGTGTATGTTGACATTCAAAATGTCTTTCTTATTCCTCTATGGGTACCTACTTCACATGATTCGTATAATAACCAACTAGCGCTACACGGTATATCTATGTACAGCATTTATATTTAAAACATTAAAAACGATGCAACAGTTAATACATATTTGCACAATGATGTCAACGCTCGGATAATTTCCTGACATTAATAAATCTCAGAAATAGTTAACTGACAATAAAAAAGATAACAAGACAGATTTTAAAGTAGATATACAATAGTTATGCATAATACAAAACAAAATACATTTGAAAAAAAAATAATGGGAGAAAATAATAATATCTCATCCGATGGCAGGAGACGTGCGTCGCGCGCGCGCGTTGCGATGGCGCAGCCGCGGCCGTGTAGGCGGCGCGCGGTTGGCGGGCGCTCCACACGCCGGCTCAGCCCGTTCTATTTCTAAATTGAGACAGTCACTCGCTACCGCTTTCCGTGTATCACCTCTTCGCTATATTTAACTAAATTTATTTCTAAAAGCTGTTAATTCCCGTTAAAAACGATAACACTTGTGCATACAACATTAGAAATGCGTTTCCTTAGTTCACAGTGATCATAAAAACGTGATATATGTTGTGCTATTGTTAAATAAATGATGTAACCGCAGTCAACTGTAATCCGTCACATTGAAATAGGTCAATAATATTAATAGTGCAGTCATCATAACAAATAACATAGATCAGAATGTGGTACCAAGGGGAGGAAGATGAAGACGAAGATCTTATGTGTTCGCCGGCTATCCTGGCGCGGCGTGCCTCTGAAAGTTGGATAAACGTTCCTCCAGTGGAGGTAAAATTGATGGAACGTGTGTCACACACACTTTAACGATACGCAAAATTTTTTAGCCGGCTGATGTTTAAACATTGTTGTAGTCTAGTGAATTGGTTTGGTGAGAGTTCGCAAAAAATGTGTCGTGTCCGGCAGATGCTGAGTACGCCGCAGACGCTGCAGCGCAAGAAGTCACTGCCCGACGTGGCCGGCATGCCGCGGATGCCGGACGGCGGCGGCATGTCGCGCGAGGAGGTCTCGGCGCTGGGCTCCGCGCGCCGCGAGGAGGTGCGCCGCATGTACGAGGAGTCCGAGAAACTTAGGGCCAACCCCCTGCTGTACTTAGTCAGTCCACAAGTCAAGGTGAGGCACTCGTTGCGCCGGGACGATGCTGAGATTTTTTGGCTTTTCTGTAACTAGTTTTATTTGCTCGGAAAGCTAACTTGAAATGCACTTACCTATTAGTTTACTTATAGCACAATACTAGAAGGATACCAACGGACATTAATTAAAGTAAACTTTCGATGCTATTTAAATACATTTATGGAAATAAAAATATAATAAACACGAAAAAGTACTGAATACATTATACCTACATCATTAAAAGATCAAGAGAAGTTACAATACCTACAAGTTACAACATACTTACATTAATTTCAAAAACTAAGGAAATTTAAAAATATTTATTTTTCCATAAGTTTCCCTTAATATCAAGAAACAAGAAAAACCTAACAATATAATAAATTAAAATGCACCACTCAAAGTTTTTTACGTAGACACAAAACCGTAGCAACCGTAGCTTCTACGACGCTGCCGCGTTGTAGACGAATCGTAGCAGTGACCTCACGTAGTCCGCTACAGTCTACGGACGCTACGAAATTATGCTACGTACAGTATCGTAGTTCATCGAGTAGGGTGTCGTAGCGCTTATGCGTTACATAATTATTATTAAGCTTCAGTTTAAATTATTTTTAATAAATTAATTAACAGTATTTTTTAAACGCACTGCACAGTGTTCTTAACTTAATTTTAATAGATTGTATTTCATTCATTTACTTATGTAGTTTGATAAAAAAAAAACATTTTCAATCGATGTATACAATGAAATATTTTTAACATTTTCAGGACTGGTTTTCAAGGCAGCAGCTGGTTATCCTCGTGCTCTTCATAAACATCTCTCTGGGCATAATGTTTTTTAAGCTGCTCACGTAGCGCCGGCGTATGGCGCCACCGCGCCCGAGTTGTACACTTTATAACGACAACTATTTTGTAAATATTTGTAATACTTCTCAACCCAAAATAGCCAAACAATTAATTTATATTATTCATCAAAAAATCTTAATAGCTCTATTCCTAAGAAGTCCTTTTGATACGAGTTACCATTTAAATATACCTATTACGACTATAAACGTATTTATTCGTCGATAAGAACTTCAATTTGCTAGTGTATGTAATTCTTTTGTCTTTGTGCAAGTGTGAAGTTTGTATGACAAGGATAAAAAGTGAAAAATATTTATAATTACGACTCCAACGTCGAACTGTTATCAAATACTATATAAAATATGTGCGAGAGTGATATTTTGTGTCCACTAGTCGGAAACTTCGAGTGCAAGGAGTACGAGTTGTTAATGAACCTGCATATTGTAGGTTTATGCCTTCGATGATAGTGCTTAACGCCTTAACTGCAATTGTTGAATTTGATTGATGACTACGTACAGCTTTAGAAGATGGTTGATGGCCGACGTAGGAGGCTACATTTATTGTTATATTAAGAACTAACGGCGCTCGCTGAGCCGTCGTTTATTTTCTTATTTACTGCGATTCAAGTGCAGTTATTCGGTTGGGAGACGTCACTAACCGTACTCCTTTAATTTTATGTTTATAGTTATTTGTAAAAAAAATAACTCAAAACTCTTAGCATATCTATATCAATCTCATTTCCAGCGATACTTGAGTGTGATAATTGAGAGCACAAAATTGATTTATTATGTCTAATTCTATTTACTTAAGAATGTTTACAAACATTCACTAAAATATGTGCAAGAATATGTATGTAAAATAATTACCTACACAAAATTGATTGTTATTTCTATATTGATAAACAAAAAGAAAAAAAGCACAAAAGCTTTATTATCCTATTTTGTAAATTATTGAATTGTGTAAAAACTGATAGAGAAACCAAATCTAAACTATAATGAAAATAGGCTTTTTTGTAAACCTATGATGTCAATTCTTTAATAATTAATCGACGATTTTGTATAGTCTGTAGAATAAATCTTATTGAATTCTATTGGCATAGGAAGCATCAAGGCTACTGTTGCGAATAAACAACGAACGTTGTTGAAAACTAGCATTCGTTGAATGATTGAGCTACTTATATTCAAGTTTTTAAGACAATTTTCACAGTTTCAGTATATTATGTAAAATTATAAGTTATTAATCTGTAAGAATTTTAATTACTTGTATCGATTTTATCTACGTTTCACAAATAAAATATTTTAACAAAACTAAAAAACGTATTATTTTTTAACCTATGTACTATAAACAAGTTGTAACATCAATCAAATAACGCACAACCGCAAGATTTGTAATTAAAACACACAACACATTTTGACAATTATTAAATGTTCTCCAAACGCTACATAACTTACACAATGTAATGTAGGATGTGTAATGAATTAAAAACTAGATAATAAATTGACATCAACACAAACGTATTATGTACAAGATTCTCAGACACTCAAGTAGTATCTAATCATTATGAGATCACCTATACAAGATAGTAATGATACTTTTAATTATCCAATAAGCTGATCCTAAATAAGGGCCTACGCCCTACGCAATGTTGATCTGCCTAGATGCTTCTAGGCTTAGGATTTTCGGAAATCATTTATCACCCAAATAAACTAATGACAGTAACTCCGAAATATATTATAATTAACAGACTCGTACCTCGTTTGTATACAAAAACATGAATTGACCCATTTAAAAGGTAACATAAACAGCCTAATAAGGTATATCCTTCCCATAGTTTCGGCGTATTCAATAAACACGTACCTACTCTTTGATTAATTAGATTAAGTTATGTATGGCTTCCCGTTCACTATCGCCACTACAGGTAATATCCACTAGAAGTGAATGGATACAGTTCGCATTCATACGCGAAGAAAGTTTAAGAAACTGTTAACTATAGTTCTTTTTTTATTTTGCTGTGTCTATCAAAAAGTGATGACTAAAAATGATAAAAAGTCGCCTAATTACGGCACCAGACAACCGGTCACCGGTTCACCGGTATTTATATTTCGTTTTTTTAATAGTGCAGTCATATTCATAGAATTAAATGCAAATAAAAAATGTTTAACCAAAAAATTAGTTATATTGTTAAATCAGATCCAGAATGTGTACTTGTGATTAACATTGCCCCTGACACGCGCGGCCGCGAACTAAGGTTACTCTACCTTCCCTTGATTTACTGTAGTAAACAAACTGTTACTTATTCTTTGATATAAATAATAATATTATAACTCATTTATCGTGAGTGACTAAGTTCAAGGTGTTTTAATTAATAGTAATAGTTATTTATTTTATAAAAATCTTTCTTTATAGGTTAAAGAAAGCAATGAAGACGCTATTGATTTAGACGATCTCTTACCGAAGATTGGCGAATTTGGTCTTTACCAGAAGCTTTTGTTATGGCTCGTGTGCTTGCCAGCATGTCTACCCTGTGGATTTTGTGCTTTCAACCAGCTTTTTATGACAGATACCCCCGACCACTGGTGCAAGGTTCCCCAATTGGAAGTATTGAACTTAACACAACAAGAACGCAAAATACTGTCTATACCTAATCAGGTAAATAACATAACAAAACACATTTAAAAATAAAGTTATCCAGTCTTGCAGTTCAGAGATTTCTAAAGATAAATTTCCTATGCAATAGTTGCTAACCTAACCTACCTACTGCTGATTATTTTATAAGTACAAAATTAGGTATCTTATTTTCACAAGTTATTCTTGCTACTTTTAGATCAATAGTAACTCAACATTTGAGAAGTGTTCTCGATATTCAGTGAATTGGGAAGAAATAATTAAAAGTGAGTATCCAATAACGGTGAACACAAGTTGGCCTCGTGAGCCCTGTTTGGATGGTTATGAATACGACACGTCTGAAGTTAAATCGTCAGTTGTAATTGATGTAAGTATGCCACTCTAAATTACTACATTCTTATAGCTATACGTAAATGTAAGTGGATAATACAAAATTTCAATCAATCCGAAATCGCACTGATAAACGAAGCCTTGACCGTAAGGCGTTCATTAGGCCTAAGATGCGCGCCGTGATAACTTTTATCGACGTCATAATGTATGGGCAAAATCGATAAAATGGCGTGATAACCGCTTAATCGCGGCGCGCATCCTAGGCCTACATAAGTAGTAAAAATCAATTTATGAGGCTAACATAGAGTTCCACAAAGTTATTCATCTCGTCTCGTTTTAAATTTTGGGTAACTATTTATGAGTTTATAGATCAAAGGTAATGATAAATTAATCCTTCCTAATTTTACCTACTAAGTAATGTGCCAAGTGATTTTATTGTCACCGCTTCATCTATAAATGTTTGCCTTCAGTTTGATTTAGTGTGCGAATACGATGTCTACCCAACTCTTGGTTTGGTGGCTTTAAATGTTGGCGGACCAATTGGAGTATACACCTTTGGAATATTAAATGATCGCATTGGTCGGAAAAAGTCATTCTTCGCATGCTTGAGTACCTTGCTTTTTGGTAGTCTATTGACAGCATTTGCACACCAATATTGGACTTGGGTACTGGCGAGAACTATTGTGGGATTAACCATACCAGCTGTCTATCAAATACCATTCATAATTTGTAAGTAGACATTATGACAATGACTTATTACAGAAGTGATATGAATAAAGATTTAATTTTTGTTAATAATTTCAGCTTTAGAATTAGCAGGTCCCAATTACAGATCCTTCGTAACCGTCATGACATGTATATTTTATACATTAGGCTTGATTTTACTCTCAGGGATAACATATTTATTAAGAGACTGGAGATCCCTTGCACTGGCGACATCGGTACCATTTTTATTTTATTACTTTTACTGGTTCGTGTTGCCCGAGTCTCCGCGTTGGTTATTAATGAGAGAGCGGCTTGAAGAAGCCAACACTATCTTAAAAAATATCGCAAGAGTGAACAATAAAGAGTTGCCAGAGGAGTTCACCATAAAACTTCAAAAATTAGTACTAGAACAAAAAGAGAAAGGATGCACAACGACAAAGAATGCTAGTGTGTTTGCACTTTTCAAGACGCCGAATATGAGACTGAAAACGTGTCTTATAACATTAAATTGGTGTGCCTCAGAGATGGTTTACGTCGGATTAAGCTATTACGGTCCGGCTATCGGAGATAACCAGTATATGAGTTTTTTCTTGTCCTCGGCCGTTGAAATACCAAGCTACCTTGTATGCTGGGTTCTGATGGATCGAGTTGGAAGAAGATGGCCGCTCTGTCTTTCGATGGTTATTAGTGGAATATTCTGCATTGCTACTGTACTGCTTCCAAATGGTAATATTTTTAACCGACTTCATTTGTTTTCTAATCAAAGTTAATTGAAATTAGATGATAGGAAAGTTGCATCCGTTTGATGATTTTTAAACATAAATTGTCTGCCCAATCAATAAAATCATAACGAATAACTAAAACTTTACCTACTTTCATTATTGTTTTTTTGCAAATATTTACTTTATTTTCGCACATATTATCTACTTTACAGATGCTATAACAGAAACGCTTATATTATACTTGATATCAAAATGCTTTATATCTGCCTCCTTTTTGATTATCTATCCTTACGCCGGAGAATTATACCCAACCGAACTAAGAGGCGTTGGAATCGGAACATCCGCGTACATAGGTGGTTTGGGTTTAATTATAATTCCCTTTGTAAATTATTTGGTAAGGGTCAATTGTATTTTTCATCCGACTCATGTAGAGATCGTTTTCGTAATTCCTTATCAATCCTCGTTTTACCATGCTACCCACATTCTTGACAATGTAACAAACATCTGAAGTTTTATTTAGTAGTATTTTTCTAGATACTTAGCATTTCATTTCATTAAAACGAGACTATTTAATTTTAGTAAAAGAAACTATAGCACTTGGTAGCGTCATATTTTCAGTTAAAATAAATTCAATTCGTCATCTTCATTAACCGTCATCACCAAATCATAGTATGTAGCAAATCAGTATAATTCACGTAAAAATGTAAGAAGGTAAATATTTTTTCTTGTCTGTATGGAATCATTTTTTTCTAGGGTTCTAGCAACCTAATTTTGCCTTTATTGGTAATGGGAGTTTTATCAGTTATTGGCGGAATATCGTGTCTTCGTTTACCGGAAACGTTACACACCTCTCTACCACAAACAGCAGAGGAAGGAGAAGAGTTTGGCAAAGATTGGACCTACCGAGATTGCTTTGTATGTGGAGGTCAAAGGTAAGCTGTCTAAAATAGTCGACAGACATCCGACATTTTTTGTGCGAAATTGAGACCCCATTATTAGAACCTGAATAATAAAAGCCTAGCACTCATCGATGACGTATCTATTTCGTGTAGGTATAGCGAGTTATTAATAATATTGTAATTTTTAAAAACTACCTAATAACTAAGGACTAAAAAAGAAACTTTTCCAAAAAATAATGTACCTACCTTAATCTTTAATTATCATTTTTTTACCTTCAGGCAACCTCTGGATGCTGAATCTTACGAAAACTTAGATCATTTAGAATTAACCCAAGCTCCTTTAGTGCTTGACGACGAGGTTCCAGAAATACCTGGCAGAAGACGAAGTTCAATGCGAAAACTAGTCCGGCAGTCAAGCGTCGTGGAGACACAAAGAGACAGAGATGGCAATATCAACTTAACTTATTGGTTTTAAGTTTAAAGATTTAAGGGCTTATTACAATAAAGTAAACGGTCGTTGAATACTTATTTGGATCGAAATGTAATTTAAACAGACGTATAAGCAACGTCTGTTTTATTTTTTGTAAATAACACCAATAATAATGTCTAATTTGCACACATAATAATGTTATTTTACGTTTAAACTTAATAAATTAAAAACTGATAATATCCATGTCCCGTTTAAAATCGTTCAACTCACTAAACTATCTACACTCGGCATCAAAGAAATGGCACTTCCATCTACAATAGCTTTAAAGATTTTCTTCTGACACAATCATGGTGCCTCATCAATATTGGTGTTATTTGAAAACCCAATAAATAAACTTTAAGAAAAACATTTTTTTTATAAGCAATTTACAGGTGCCATAGCTAAATGTGACTTGAAAAAAGCCTCNAATGCGTTTATTAAAGTCAATAATCGAAAAATATAGTTGATTTTTGTGATGTTTTTAATAACTAAGTATTCACTGCAATCGATTAATGAACCGCGGAAATAATCGATTTTATTATACAAGAAATACCCCAGCACTAAATCTATTCCGTTTCACACATTCCGTTTCATAAATAAAAAATATTTTTACATCGTATTTAATTAAAATATAATCAATAGACTCAGATTTTACTATATTTCAAGACAAGTAGTTAATTTTTTTTTATTATATTGCTAATAAAATACAAATATTTTTTCAGAAATATTCTGCATAATGTAGTATGCGTAATATGGATAACCTTGAAGTGTCATACGGATCATCTTACGTGAAAAAGACTATAATTTGCACACATAATAATGTTTAAAAACTGATAATATCCATGTCCCGTTTAAAATCGTTCAACTCACTAAACTATCTACACTCGGCATCAAAGAAATGGCACTTCCATCTACAATAGCTTTAAAGATTTTCTTCTGACACAATCATGGTGCCTCATCAATATTGGTGGTTATTTGAAAACCCAATAAATAAACTTTAAGAAAAAAATTTTTTTTATAAACAATTTACAGGTGCCATAGCTAAATGTGACTTGAAAAAAGCCTCATTTGGGGCTCACCTCTGGGACCAATTAGACCAATTTTTGTGGTTATAAAACCAAATAATGATCTCCCGTGTCCTTTTTAACAGATGGATAGCGATTATTCCCAATTTAACAGATTTCTAACCATAAAGCCTAGGTACCTACTGCTCAAGCGTAACTATCTATCGCTTTAAGAATCTAAGAGACACTGGATTCTTCTAAAGACACATTTTTGGGGTAAAATCCTTTCCTATAATGAAATGAAGTTTAGAATTCCTTAGGCCTTCAAATGCCAATATTGGTAGGAAGTGAGGATGCATACGTTTGAAAGTGCTTGTCGCGGGAGGTGCGATTTATTTGACGCCGAGTGTAGTATTTTCCCCTCTATTCTAAAAGCATAAAATTGGCATTCTTAAAAACATTTAACTGTGACTATTTCGATGAATTTTAATAAGCTAAGTATTATGGGATCATGAGAACTCCATTATGTGTTATACCTTTTATCGTAAAAATAAAACAAAACTGCTAAACACAAGGATAAACATGATGATTCACATTTCATTTTCCCGCCAAGAACTGTTTTTTTTTTTTATAAAATGGCTTCGTATGGTTAGCACGTAAAATTTTTAGCGTTATGAGTAGAGATGGGTAGTGGGTAAAAACCCATTTCACCCGATTGGGTTAAAACTGGGTGATTTGGGTAAAAACCCGGTTTTTACCCATTATCACCCATTCTGGTGGGTGAAAACAAAAATAGCGTTTTTTTTAAGTGAGAAGTGGTATTTGTTGCTAAGGGGGCGTTCTAGTGTTACGTAATGCAATCTGGGGGGAGAAGAGGTCTTGAAAAACGTTACAATGCGTTACAGTGGCGGAAGGGCGGTTCGATTTCAAGTTTTTAAGCAGAAGTACTTTGTAGTTGGTGTTGTTATTTGTAACTTTATACCGTAATGTCATCAAAGAGAGAGTTTGGCATCTTTGGCATCCACCCCTCCCCCCCTCCATGTCCTTGCCATGATCACAAATTATTGTGTTTGTCCGTCTGTCCGTCTGTCACAGCCGATTTACTCGGAAACTATAAGTACTACAGTGATGAAATTTGATGGGAATATGTGTTGTATGAACCGCTACAAAATTATGACACTAAATAGTAAAAAAAAGAATTGGGGGTGGGGCCCCCCATACATGTAACTGAGGGATGAAAATTTTTTTTTCGATGTACATACCCGTGTGGGGTATCAATGGAAAGGTCTTTTAAAATGATATAAAGTTTTCTAAAAAACATTTTTCTTAAAGTGAACGGTTTTTGAGATATCAGCTCTCAAAGTCGTAAAAAGTATGTCCCCCCCCCTCTATTTTTATAACTACGGGGTATAAAATTCTAAAAAAAATAGAGGTGATGCATGCTAATTAACTCTTTCAACGATTTTTGGTTTGATCAAAGTATCTCTTATAGTTTTTGAGATAGGTTGATTTAACTGTAATTTTGGTTAAGTTATTGTGCTTACACTGAAAACGATGGCTGAACCTTATAAGATAGATCAAAAAATATACTACAGTATTGTACACCTTTTAAAATCCGCGATGATATAAAATCTTTATAATGTAGGTCTATAGCCCTACGCCTTTAGCTCGGAATATTTATAAATACATATATAAAATTAATATTCATACATAAAAGTACAAGGCAAAATATCGGGAGAGTTTAGGCTCCATTCACCAGGTGTATAAATTGACATAATAAGTTTATTATATTTGCTGCTACGGAACCCTTTGTGCGCGAGCCCGACTCGCACTTGGCCGGTTTTTATAAAATAAAAATTGGTCACATCATCATAACGTGATCAATTTTACGATTTGGCCACAATATAAATGCATATTAGTGTTAAATTTGACTTATTACTTATTAATCAATAAACTTAAATGAGAAAAATTCAATAAAAATAAAGAAAAGATACCAATTGAAATAATTATAAAATTATTTGTTTTCACCCGGTGTAAACACCTAGGTACGGGTGGAATGAAACGGGTTTTTATTGGGTTTTTACCCTCATGTGGGTTTTTACCCGGGTGGAAACCCATCTCTAGTTATGAGTCGCATCTCAAACTAATTTGAAAATTATAAATAACTTGAAAAAATTGAACTGCATTATACCTATGCATAACATTGATGAAACAAACGCTGGCCGACGAAACACCGTATTACACTTGAAAAGGACATCATCCATTTTGGTCCAAAATCAAAAGTGCCGGCCAAAAAATAAAAGTGCTGTATTCTGATAGAATACATCCGCCTTAGCATTTATTACTATGACGAATTAATATTTATGTAGGTATACCATGATTGATACTTTTGGAGTCGGTGCAGGCAAACTTTACATGTTTCATAATCTTGGCACCGACTCCAGAAGTATCAATCATGGTATACCTACATAAATATTAATTCGTCCTAATAAATAAGTAGGTTATTAGTAATTATTTTTCTACTTTTTAATGTAGGTTTTTTGGAGTCGGTTTTATTTTTTTTTATAAAATATTTTAGTGTAGGTTTTTTGGAGTCGGTTTTTATTTTTTTTATAAAATTTTACTTATTTCTTGCTTTTTAGTTAACTAATTATTACCTTGATGTTACCACTGAAGGTAGGCAGTACATTGAGACCATATTCTTAATGTATATTATAAAAAAGTTCATCCCCAATTTAACACCCTTGGGGGTGAAATATTTTCTTCAAATTCACATGAAACCACTCTTTTGATAATACCTATTTAACAAAAAAATAATCGTTCAAATTGGTTCATAATTGGCGGAGATATTGCGTATAAAAAAGTTCATCCCCAATTTTCCACCCTTGGGGTTGTTTTTTTATTATTAAATTTAAATGGGACCACCCTTGAGGTATTACCTATACGCTGAAAAAAGATTTGTTCAAATCGGTTCATAATTGGCGGAGTTATCGCGTAACAAACATANAGTTATGAAGTTCTAATGGCTCTAATTGAATGACTGAGAGGTTTGATGACTCTAATTAGGCTTTTATTGATGGGATACTTGGAATTGCTCTAGGGCCAATGAGGAAGTTGGAGACATTCAGGTGAATGAAACGGGTTTTTATTGGGTTTTTACCCTCATGTGGGTTTTTACCCGGGTGGAAACCCATCTCTACCTATGTGTGCGTGAACTGTGTATGTGTGCGTGGACTTTATGTATGTATGTGTGCGTGGACTTTATGTATGTATGTGAGCGTTACGTACGTGGGTTTAGTACAGGGAATTTAACACCAGGCTGTCAATTAGTAGGTTCAAAAATTTGACAGAGAGGGCTCTCTATTTCCTATGTATTACTTTTCTCTATGTCTGTGACTGACAGACTGACGTTTCTTCTTCTTGTCTTTTTCTGGCTGGGCTGGGAATGCCGTAGGGAATGCAAAGGGATCGATCAATATCCAACTCCGCATGAAGCTATAGATAAAAATGGAGGCCACACTCCGAATACCTACTTGAAGCACAACCTATGTATCACTATCTCGCTCTCTGTGGGCAGACTCTCTCTTTCTAAATAAACAAAAAATGTAAATTTGCTCAGTCAATGAAACTCAATATAAAATCTTTATTTCTTGACATAGGTATCATTAAATAATAAGTGTAAATACTGGTAAAACATTTTAGGAAGAAAATTTTACTGTGAAAATACAGAGAAATATGTTTACAATGATCCAATGTCGGAAATCACGAAATAAACACTTACGCGTGGAATCTTAAGTTACTTCCGGGACACCACGTACAACCGCAACCACGCACTACAAAATTTTGCACCATTTCTTGAGATAAAACAATGATTAGGTCCTGTAACAAATCTCAAACGAAATTAACTGCATAGTAAACAAAATAGTAAACAACCGCCATGATGGGCAGGATTGGACCGACGTTGCCACATGGTACCGATTTCCCAGGAATTGGGATTGCAGTTCCCTGATTCGTCAACACATTTAACTAACCTAAACGGTCGACAATTTTGTAATTTTTAATTTAAGTAGGTAATCGTA